AAGAGGACTCAATCCTTTAACTCTATACAAAGGCAGATCATCCTCTCTGAGCACCGTTCCAATGCCACAAAGGAATCAGAGTCTTTCCAGTATCCTCACCTAGATGCCCAAACATCAGCCCAGCACTCCTATTTTTTCCCCACAATAATAGAAGCAAGGGAAGGTAGAGAGAATTGAAGCAACTAGCAAGGATTATTGGACCAAATGTATAGTTGGGACAGCTGTTGGAGAAGCTTTCAGGCATCAAGTGCCCATGGAGAAAGGGAGAAATGAGTATTTTCCAAGTATAAGACCTATGCATCCTTTTTTCATAATGTACTACAGTGAGAGGTAAGTAAAAAAAAAAAAAAAAGGAACATAATTCTCAATTCAGCAAGATGCATGAAAACCCTGATGGATGAGTAGAACACAGTAGCAAAGAAGCTAATAAAAATACTTTCAACAAACCTCAAGAGGAAAAATTAAAGCACCAAAAGCTAAGGCTAAGGTCTGCTTTGAAGGATGGTGGCAGACAAATATTTCAGAAAGTTAAACAGAAACAACAGGATAATTTCCAATTGCACAAGAAACAAATGTATATGCCCCCAACTTATGGGGCAGGGGGGAAGGGGGAGTAGGCTTTATGCTACTCTATCCTAACCTATCAGCAACACGAGTCTTGGCTATAACCACCTGCACAGATGCTGCCTAACTAGGGGCGAAGGATAAAATCCTAGACACAGGCACCTGTCCACATTTCCTGTGGCCTATACATCTTCTTGCAGCACATCTGGACCAAAACATGTTGCCATACAAGACAGAAATCCAGGATACATATATTTTCATTCCATCTACATGTACATGTATCGTAAGTAAGTCTTGGCATGAAAATCCACAGCAATAGTAGCAATTAAAATCCAAAGTGAATCACAGCCCAGGTTCAAAAGTATCAATTGATCATCTCAACCCAATATAGATCACAGTTCATAGTCCTGGGTTTCTGTGGATTAAACTACAACTGCAGAGGTCCAGCAAGGTACTTTAAAAGAGCTTGGGAAAGCATTGCTTGCCTTTCATTTATCCAAAGGGGGAAAAAATACAACCAAACACAAAAATGTCTTTTATCATACTTATTTTGGAGTGGAAAGAATTTGTTTGCATAAGCACAACTTACCCTTTTTAGGATAATTCAGCTTTTTAGTAGATATGAAAAAAATTGTAAGAACTGATAATTGATTCTGAGTATTCTATATATTTAATTATTTTGCTTACCTACCTCAAGATGCTAATCTGAATAGAAAAAAATGTTGTCAATTAAAATGTAATTTAAATGTAAAGTCCAACTTTTAAAAGAAAATCGGAAGTACCACATCAAAATAACTGAAGAAAAAGCCTCAAGGCTTTACCAAGATATTTTGATGCAATATTTTTAAACTCAAGTTATAAAATACTAAGATAATTACAAATCTCAGAAAAAGGGTGATGCCATTACCTGAACCAGTATGAAGTCTATTTAAGAATGACATCCTGTTTATCAGCTTAATGTGAGAACCTGATATACTACAAAAAGAGTTTGTTATGCAGGAAATCATATTGGTGCCTCACCAGGCATTAAAAACAGTATCATAAAAAAAGAACCAAGACAGTATTACATGATTACTGGAATTACTACCTATCTGGATGCACACTTTCTAATGGATGCCTAAGCACCATTTGTTATGAATTCTGCACCATTTGAGATTTTCATGGGGCACATTTGGCCCATGGGCTATGCTATGGTCACCTCTTGTAAGTAACTATTTTGATATGTATTCAAGGACTAAATACAACTGCTCTGTTATGTTCCACACAGCAGAGAGAGGTTAAAGTATGCTTAGTTCTGAAACTGATGCTAAGCTACTGAGAATGGCTTTTAAACAAGTTGGTAAATAAAGAGACTTCTTTAAGAATCAGGAATTGTGTTGCCCTGCCCTCGTCTTAAATAGCCATCCAAGAACAAGAATCCCCAGCTGACTCAAGCTAACATTTGTTTACATATGTCTGCTTCACCAAGTTTTACTATGTGCACCCATTCATGAAGACCTGAGTTACAGGACAGTACTGACCACCCTGCTGTAGATACCGTAGGACCAGATAGATCACCTTCAATAACATATTACTGACCAGAGTTAAACCTAGCTGAAACTAACTAAAACAAAATGAAGGAAAAGGTAGAGCAGCAAAGTAGTGAGGGGAGACAGTTTCACAGTAACCATGGTCAAGACAGCTAGGAGGCTCCAGGTGAGGAAAAACAAACTACACATTTGCTCCTCTCAGTAGCCAGAGAGGCTTCAAATTAGTCAGACACCTTGTAACACAAGACTGAAAATTAAGTCCCCCCAAACAGACACAGTACCTCATTAAGACTTCCAACACCCTGTTCTTTCCCAGCAGCTAGAAGTACAGGGATTGGCTCCCCACTTGGTTTTACTTGTGAAAGGAATTTGTCCTCACAGTTTACATCTGCTTAGGGCTATCAGGTTTATTCTTCTGGTATTAGGGTTTGGCAATGCTATGAGATACCCATGTCTGGAAGGCATGGATGAAGATGGCTGCAAAAGGTTGAAGGAATGTCAGAAAAAGTATTATAGTATAGACAAAGATTTAGGAATAGAAAGTATACGAGAAGTATCACTGGGAAATATGAGAACAGGCACAAAACATGGAGAAAGGAAAAAAACAGCAAGGATACAAACACTGAAGAAAATTCAGCATAAACTATGATTCTGTCATAGGAATAAAAAGAAGTGGAGAAGACAAGTAAGAACGGACAGTGCAAACAAAAGCAAGGGATGCAAGATGTAGGGTTAATAAAATACAACAAGAAGTATACAATTTTGCCAATGTTTACTGAATACTATTTTTCACCTAAAATTGTTCAACTACTTATCCTCAAGAAGTTTTAGTAGTGAAGAGATTTATCAAATTTATTCAAGGACTTGTTTTCCCACTCTTCTGACCAGCCCTGGATATAAATGTTATGCTAATATAAAGAAACTGAGGATGTTAAAATGAAATGTAGTAAAAACAGTTAGTTAACCAAATTCTGTTAAACAACAGGAGTTGCATTCAAAGAGATGGAAACACACCCTTTAAGATGACATGGGTATTTTTCATCCTGGCTAACAGGCTTATCCCTTAAGCTGACAAGCGTCAGGAATGTTTTTCAAAGGCTGACAATTGATAAATACAGCTACTTACCTACTATCAGTGTCCAGACCTACAAAATCCTTCTTTTCAAAAGGTACACACAGAAGAGGGATCTTGTCTCCAGACTTATCGGTGGCCCTATCAAGCCGCTTGGATTCCAATACAATGAAGAGAGATTCAATAAAATCTTCTATTCTCTTCTCCACAGTTTCACAGTCATCATAACTAGGGTAAAATGCCACATCTGTGCGGGACTGCTCTGCAATCTCTCCCTGAAGCCCAAAGACAAACAGTCTGGAGTCATAGAGTGTAGAACCGTATATTTCCTTCTGAAGATGGAATTTTTCAAAAGTCTGAGGCCAATCCATTGCTGAACAACAGTCTGTTATGGTTATGAGCCCAACAACTTTCCGATGCGTCTGAAAATCCCCCCATTCATTGTTCTCCGGAGGGTAGTGATGCCGATAGCGGATATACAACACACGCTGGGAGTCACGGACATTAATCTGATTCACTGATGATATTCGTTTGTAGATCTGGAAAAAGTTCTCCTCTGGAACAATCCCAACTGGCTGGACCACAACCAGGAGAGTCTGATGGTCTTCAGCACACTGCATATAGTCTGGGACACTCATTTTGCATCAACTGCAGTCTAGTAAAAAGAAGAAACAATTTAATTTTAATTTTACGCAGCACCAAATAATGCTAAAGAGTCAGGTCCCACATGAGGAACCTGAAATCTAAAGGCTCAATACTACAAATCCATTCAGCTACCCCACTTCACCCAAATAAGAATCGGTAAATGAGATGTACAGCTAAATTGATACATAATCCCCAATTTACATCCTTTTTCCTGCTAAGCATTCCTCACCCAGTCCATTGCCTAACCTTACAAATACCTGTGTAGACGCTCAATTTAAACCTTGTAATTAGCTCCATTAACTTCAGCTGGGTTCACGCATACGCGCAAAGTAGGACAAATGCATTAACATTTGCAAGCTCTGGGCCTTCACCCATGCAAGCAGACCCATTAGCAAGAAAAACATGCATGACTCTGGGCTGTTTTCTGTTCCATAAGTTACCCTGCTGGTAGTACGCCGAGCAGATAGTAGCTGAATGCCCAACTGAATGCACCCTCAGCAAGTTTATTCCAGTACAATTTGAAAATGGTAGAGAGATCAAACCTGAAAAAGGAGTTTAATAGTGGAAATACTAATATAGTACATACCTTCTTATGCAGCTTGCCTATTTATATACTCTAATACCCCAATTTTTTTAGTACTTGGGGGCTGGCTAAAAGCTAACAGGTACTTTAAATCTGTACATTTTCTCATCTGCTGCGAACACCTAATGCTTAACTTGTAATGATGTGGAGATAAAGCAGCTGTTTTCATATGCTGTGGCTTTTTCCCCACAGCAGTACAAGTTAAACCACCACTATTAGGGTGCCAACAAACTGCTTCATTTTGCTTATTCTGTAGCAGTCTCTGGCTAACTATTGGGAAAGTTAAACTAAATAAAATGCAGGGGGGTCTGTGACATACTGGTGCAGGCAACGCAATGTTGTAAAGAACTAAATACAATAAGGCCAGAAGAGTTCACAAAGAGAATTAAATGATGTAGGAAACAATAGCCATGCCAGGAGTTGGTGACAACAGGGAAATACATCCCAGTTCAGTAATTCACAATGCTTTAAACAGCTCTAAAAAACAAAATTCTGCAGCTACTAAAATGCCTCAACTTTATTTCCAAAGAAAAATCAAATATATTGTTAATTCATGTGGTTACTCTTTAAAACATCTAGGAAAACTGTAATAATTTCAGAAAACTATTTATTTTACATTAATATTATTTAATATTCATATTTTAGTAGCACCTACTACTAGCACCCTGTTGTGCTAGCTGCTATTCAGATGCACACAGGACTGACCCATACAAGCGTATCAGTGTCAAAGCCAAACAAAGAAGGAATGAAGGCAATCAGGTATTCGCAGAGCAATCACTGTTAGTGCATGAGAGCACTTAAGCGCATTTCAGCACAAATGTTTCTCTAAAACATAAAATCTAAGTTTCAGCTTTGTTATTTTATTAAGCTATTGTAAAGTTTCTAAACAATGCATCTTAATAATCTTAAAGTATGTTTAGACAAAAACAAATTAACACCTTAGACTAGGGCAGTAGTTTCCAACCTTTTTAGATTCAAAGCATGCCTCCGAAAATGCCAGAGCTCTTAGTTATCACCAGTTGTTTGACCACAACAAAATAATAAAGCAATTCTTCTGTTGCAAAGAACTCAGAAAAGCCACAACAGGCCATAACGTTTGTGAGATTAAGGATTCCTATTTGAAATCACTGGGTTTATCTTGGGAATCATGCTTGCACAACTAATAATGCCACCAGTGTGTGGCACCCTTGAAGGCATTCTCAAGGGACCTCAGGGTGCCATGGCACCCTAGCTGAGAATCAGTGAACTAGAGATGCATCCTACTAAGCATTTACAGCTGGGAATAAGTGGAAAACAGAAACACTCTTAAGGCAGTTACTTTTGCAGAATGGTGTGTTTTGTTCCATCTCATCTTAATTTGGTAGAAGCCCTCATCTCCCAAATGAATATCAAAGACCCACAACAGGAGTTAAGGGCCGTATAGGTTCATCCTTAGAATGCTTGGAGAGGGAAAAGCAGAGAAGAGACTTCCACTAACCAACAGTACCTGACTTCTATCATTCAGCAGAACAATCCAGATCCCGATGCTCCAACCACAAGACGCAGGAAAATAGCCAGCTTTGTTTTATCATAAGAGTGGCATTTTGAGAAACTACTTTCTGAATTTTAGAAGTTTAGGGTCCCTCACCAAGTTTTGAGAAAGATGTTGGCTCCCTGTTGAACATGCATTAGAGATGTTACCGGTAGTCAGCTTCTATCAGCTGTTACAAAACAGCACAATACCATCACCTGTCACAGTATATCTGCATCTAGAGTTAAATGACACAGGATGCCTCACTTGAGAAACACCATTCATTCCTGCCTGTGGCAGGGGGTCAGGCTAGATGGTCTGTTCAGGTCCCTCCTAACCCTAGCTACTATGAAATAGGCCCCCCATTCCAGCTGGGTTGGGCATGTCGCAAAAACCATTCATACCTGTTCTCAGGAAGAGTAAAAAGGCACCAAATCAGAACAGCAGCATGTACGCAGCTGTAAATGGTCCGGCAAGATGCACTGTAGGGGAGACCCAGACCAGGAACCTCCATTTCAGGATGGAGGGCAATCTGGACTGAGTGGAAGCAGGGCACAGGGGCAAGGCAGCTTGTTACCACTTCCTCTCTACTCCAGCATTTCAACTTCTCCCACGGTGGAATACTCTACAACTGACAGGGGGGGCACCTTAGGGCCCTGCTACACATTCAAATTAAAGCTGGATAAAAAACAGCTATGGAGTTGTTACACATTTTCAAGCACCAACTTTATAGCTGGTTTGATCTTTTTCATAGATTCATAGATGTTAGGGTCGGAAGGGACCTCAATAGATCATCGAGTCCGACCCCC